GCGTTACTGTGCGTTACTGTGTGTTACCGTGCGTTACTGTGCGTTACCGTGCGTTACTGTGCGTTACTGTGCGTTACTGTGCGTTACCGTGCGTTACTGTGCGTTACCGTGCGTTACTGTGCGTGTGGGTGGAGCTGGGGGCCAGGCTCTCTGTCCTCCCCGCGTACAAACACACACGCCCCCATCCCCGCTCCGGTCGAGGCCTAATAGTGTGCGGGAACAAGACAGCCTGTGATCAACCCCCACCCCCCCCTCCCTCCCTCATTCGCACCTCCGTGCATAACCCTCTGTGCAGCGCACGGCGCAGGGACTTGGAGGTGCGCGCGGCGAGAGGAGGCGCGACAGCTGCGCGCCCTCACATCGACGTTCTGTCACCTGTCCATGGGAATGAAGAAGCTAACCTACCCCATATTTCCACACCAGCTGCCTCTCTGCACGCTGTGTGTGTATGTGTGTGTGTGTGTGTGTGTGTAACTACCAGCCCCGAAGACAGACCGACATCCGCCGGCAATGAATATAAATGTGGGACTTAACACGCAGCCGCCTGGTAACAAGTTTAAGCTGACGATGGCACCATTCTCCTGCCACATGTCTAACAGAACCCAAACGGGGGCCGTTTGTCTGCATTTGAACTGAAGGCCTCAGTTTTCTTCTATTTCACACCAGTACTGGACTTTCTTTTTTTTTTTTGGACAATCTTCTTCAGGATGAAGATGGGAAATCTACCTGGAAAAAGAACCTTTTCTCTTTATACAAAGTTGCATCAGAGGGTCGGAGTGAACAAGCTGGTCAGTGTTGGCTTTATTTCCAGCTCTCCTTGTTTTGTATTAACAGGTCTAATAAAAAAACGCTCTTCCTCCGTTTTATTTCTACGGGGAGGCCGCCAACGCCAGCAGGATGTGCTCGTGTGTGTGAGTTTTACAATCTGGTGTGGGTGCGTGACTGAGTGTGTCAGGCAATAAAGGCAGCGTGAGGGGAAAAAAAGAAGAAGCGCCCCTGTGACAGCAACCGAAGGACTAAAGCCAGATTTGGGGAAAGCACGGCGTGCACAAAAAAAAAACCCAGACGGTAAACAAGCCTTCATGTAATAAAACTGAGGCGGTGACCTCAGCGGGCGCGGCCCCGGGTTTAGTATGCAGGTGCAGGAAAGCGTGTCTATGCCCAGCAAACCGCGCTCCTCATCTCTAGTCCCGGTGACAACGCGCCACAGCGTTACCATAGTAATGCCATTAGGGGCCATCGTTTGCAATGACTTAATTATACAGGAGCGGAGCATGGTGCTCGTGGACAGGGGTGGGGGGGGGGGGGGGGGGGGGGGGGGGGGAAAAAAAAACGCGGGGGCAGTTCCCCCCCAAAAAACCCCCCCCCTTGCCCCCCCCCCCCCCTCTGTGGCTGCCTATCAGGTGCTCGGCTCTGTCCTTTTGTTAGTGTTGGCCAACATGTCAGACCTTGCATTGTTCAGTGGTTCGCATGATAGATATGCTGTATTAAACTCCTATAATTAAATCGCTGAAAATGGGATTCTCATTTAAAAAACAATCATTAATTCTGCTGCCTGAAATGACAACCAGGCATTTTGGCAAATTTGTAATTACTAGAGGAATGGGAGCCGTTGCCTCCGGGCCGCTGTAGTGTGTCATTTCAGATTCAGACTTTTAAAGAATTTGGACTCATTCAATGCGCGGAAAGCCCCCTCTCAGGAAGACACCTGGCCAAAAAGTTTGCGAATGGAATGCAGATATTCTTATCAATCACGGCCGTGACATGTCGAAGCTATCTAATGTCCTAATGTGGGAAAATGTGGCCTCTAACGCCGGATTCCCTGAGGTGCGCTCATTATGAGGCCCCCCGGTTCGGTGGTGCCCCCCGGGGCCTGGCAGCCGCCGCCACTCTCCGTCCCCTGACTGTGGAGCGTCGGGTTGATGAAAACACTAAACCCCAACCTCAATTGTCTTCCTGGGAGTGGAGGGAAAGAGATCCAATTTGCTGCTCATTGAGACTGTCATATTTTCCTCCCGGACCTCTCATGTCCCTCTTCATTCTCTCACTAATTTCTTTGTCCTCCAAAGTGGGTTTCAGTGCGAAGCTGCAAAAATAATGAGTGTCTGATCTAACAAAACCAGGGGAGGACTTTTCATTATTTATTTCCCCGCCCGCCGTCCGGTGCCTCAGGGTTTGTGAGAACCCTCCATGGGTTTGGCAGCGTAATCTAGTGAGGACTTTCAGCGCATTAGATAATTCCCGATAAAGAGAGCAAGCGGAGCCCGAGTCCACTGCACGCGGCACTGACAGCTGTTCGATGACGGTGGCACGCCCCAGAAGATAAAAGTTGTTCATCAAAATGAATGTCAAACGTTTGCTACTTTTGACTTGCAAGAAACTTCAAAGAGTCTAAAAAGGGACCCCGGCAGTGATGAAACTGGATCCTGGTGAACACGTAAGCCTTAGGCGGCCTGCCCTGTGCAACCCCGTGAGAGGCACACACGTGTGCATGTCCCTCTGTATGACTGTGAGGGTGGGTGTGTGAGAAGGCTGGGGGTGTGACTGTGTGTGTGTGCACGTCTGGGATGACCATCAGAGATGAGCCCGGGTAGCATCAGCAGCGTGTGGTCCTGCGTGTGTCCCTAATAAACAATGGCTTTCCTCTTACCCACTTCCAGTTTTGTAACCCTTTGAAAGAGGGTCCGTCAGCATCTGCACGAGTACATCCAGATGTTTGCGTGTCCACTCCCGTCCCATCTGCCCACTCTCCCGTTACAACCCTCGCTGTACACTCAGCAGCTTATTCATTAGCCACATTAGCCGGCTTATGCTCGTTCCAATTAGTATTCCAGCATGGAGAGGCTCAGAGGTCTGCATGGCCAAACAAGAAGGCTTTCTGTAGGCAAACCCGCCACGAGCACGAGGCCAGCCGATTTTTGCCGGGCGTGTTCAAGAGCTGCAGCACGTGGAGGGACAAGAAGGACAGAATGACGGAGGTTCCCCGTAACCTGAAGCTACACTGGTGAAAAGACAGATTTGCCTCCCCACTAATGGGTTTGTAATTGTGTTTAGCCTTTAGTCTTTTATACATTATGCACAATACTGGGGAAAAAAGGCAAACACAGGAGAGCAGAATATGCATAATAGATTACATACATTTGATAATAGTATAAAAGAAAACTAGAAACCCTACAAAAGTGCGTTGTACAGCAAAATGGGAGCCTGAAACATGGAAAACAACTCAGTGGACCCTTTAACCATCTCACAAACAAGCCATAAAACCAATATGCAGATTGTAATGTACCAAATGGCATCATAAGCCAGTTATGATTACATCATAACAGGACAGCTGTTATCACAGATGTGTCAGAAAGCAAAAAAAAAAAAAAGAACGAGAATATGTTGGTATCTGACTCTCCAGAAGCTTTATATGGGCATATGGGCAATACTTTACGGACATACTCATCTTCTCCCAGGGAAGACAACCCTTTTTAATATGGCCAAGATAGAAATCAAACAAACACTGTTTTGACTTGGCATGCAGTGGACTGCACGAGGGAGGGCGGTCGTTTATGTTAGGAAACAGACCGGGAACACTGACGAGGGGGAGTTATGCTGATGCCTGTCATGACATGGAGAGTTCATCTCGACTTGAATGTGGATGAGACTGGAACAGGGCCTAATATGACAGGTCTTTCTGCCCCGTCAAGAAGGGCTTCTCGAGGAGGATTGCTGACTGATCTGTCTGGCCTGTTATTCCTTTTACCTTCCCTCTCTGGAGTGCTCTGCCACTCTCAACCAGGCCGAATACAGATTCCTCCTAGTCATATAACAACTTTCACATTTCGGAAACATTTTCGGGGAATGTGAAATTCAAAATTACCCGCATGCGTAAAGAAAATATGCGTATAATTTGATGCAGACTATCTGTATGCTGGTGTTGAGCTCTACCCTTCACGGCTTATGTATATTAAATCCCTTCCCGTTGCCGATACATGAACCATACTTGTCGATTTTTGCCTGGAAAGTCCCTGTAACCCTGTGAAGCAGCGTTCGTTTTTAATGTAACCAGATGTAAAGGATTTATGAGATGTTATGCTACTCAGCTTGACGGCGCTGGATCCATTCATATCTGAGCTGGGCCAAGTATAGCTTCGGGGCGTCTGTCTTCCCCGCAGAAGCATAAATAAAGAATAAAAAAAACAACATCTACATGTAATCTAAAAGTCATCCTCGTTAGCATGCAGTCCCCCGCTCCACGCACTCGCACCAGCCTCCGCTTCAGCTCAGGTCAGGTGCTGGTTCCTTCCTCTCTCTTTCCAGCCGCGATCAGCCCACCCCCCATCTGTGTTAGCCTGAATATTTTACAAATACCCCGATAACAAGGAAGTCCTCCCGCCGCGATCCTAATTCGCAGTGATGGCTTTATCCGTGCTATCTCTTCAATTTGTCCTCTTAGATTCTTTCCACTGCCAACAGATGGAGGCAATTTTTCAGTTACATTTAGCGTCTGCACGGTCCCCCGACTGCATGCATACCCCCAAGTCTTTAAAGCGTGGCAGTGAGGTGGAATTTTTCAAATGGGTGACGAGTATTGCGCACACATATCCAGGAGTATTAGGGGAGTTTGTTTCCGCGGGCGGCAAGATGACTCCAAGAATCAAACCTCACACTGGCATGCGTGCGCACACACGGACAACAAACACACTCCGAGTCAGTAATTGGGGCTTCGCTGTGTGATCTGGCAGATGAGGGGTCCGGACTCGGAGGACGCTCGCTGGAGACCAGCTGTGCCTCGCTCCGCACTTCCAGATGGCCCTCCGGACACCTCGCCGTGCACGGGGAGTTTGCGTGCTGATGCCTGTGTGTGTTGATCCGTACGTGTGAGACGCTCTCAGATTTAGACATGTCAGCGCGCGCTCTGCGGCGGTCCCCCTTTTTCAACGCTGACACGTTTTGTCATCAGAGCCACCGAAACAACGAGGGGAGAGAAGGCCGCGGTTCCCCCTCACTGAGAAGCCCTTTCATCTGCAACGCCACGCACAACACCACACACACACTCACTCGGAGACACAAATACTTTAATCCGTTCCATCCACATCACAGTCGCTGCAGGCCCTGTCACAACAAATCGTTATCCAAAATCTTGAAGAGTCTCTCATACCTCTGCAGCACACACTCCTAGACACCCGGTCCTGCACCTACTCTAATATGCATGAACTGCACAAACACTAACCCCTGCTAATTCCAAAGCACCGCTGACCATTATCGGGGTCCCATCTGCCGGCCGAGGCTGCTCCGGCTCTCCTCCAATAGGTGGGCAGAAAACTTAATCGCACCTAATTTGTTGTCTGCAAACACACTCTAATGTATTCCCCACTGAAGAGTCCTCTAAATCTAGATAAAATCCCAGTTTTGGAGCCACCTGGGTCCTTCAGCCCAACACCACCAGAAGGAGAATGGTAATCCAGCACCACCACTCTCCCCGAAAATGGCTGTTTCTGCACAGAAAGACTGGCTTTGTGATGCACTGAAAAAAAAATCCACTCATTCTAAACTCTTTAGCAACTTCTAACTGCACCTAATGTTCACGGTGGGATGTTACAGACTTTTGCAGGCTGTTTCTTGACTTTACTTGGCATTCGTTTCCCCTTTCTTTGCATCAGTAGAGCCACTCATCCCCCAATGGATTTGCAAGCAGAAAAAAATAATAAAACACACTGTAAAGTCAAAGTTAACGGATTTAAAATAGTTTACTTCAAGTCACAAAATGTTCTCTGAATGGTTTAATGGCCTCTGAACAGCACAGGGATTGTGCGCATTTTCTTCGGTCTGTGTCATAAAGAAAAAAGTATCCCTTTGATCTCAAAGGATAAAAGCTCCACGCTCACCTTGTGTTTAATTTGATCAACTAATGAGGAATGATTTTTTTTTCATTTGTTGCATGAAGTGTTCTGTTTATGAGCTCGAGTCATCATGTAAAGTACCACCAGCTGCAGTCCATAAACATAGTTATTACTACGTCTTATTACCAGCAGTAAATTACAAACGGAAGCAATAAAATAATCCCAAAACCTTCTGAGGCCTTTATCTCCAACCGCATACTCATTCATTGCTGTTATCTGGGAGTATATTCGTATTATCACTTATTTACAAAATGGATTAATCGTTGACTCAAACTCCAGCATATGATCAGGATTAAGGCATTTGGCTGAAGTCGTACTGATTCAATAGTCT